TTCACCCGCTCACTCACCCGCTCACTCGTCCACTCACTCACTCGCCCGCTCACTCGTCCACTCACCCGCTCACTCGTCCACTCACCCGCTCACTCGTCCACTCATCCGCTCACTCGTCCACTCGCCCGCTCACTCATCTACTCACTCGTACACTCATCTATCTGCTCACTCGTCCACTCACTCGTCCACTCACTCACTCGCTCACCCGTCCACTCACCCGCTCACTCGTCCACTCATCTATCTGCTCACTCGTCCACTCACTCGCTCACCTGTCCACTCACCCGCTCACTCGTCCACTCACCTGCTCACTCGTCCACTCATCTATCTGCTCACTCGTCCACTCACTCGTCCACTCACCCGCTCACTTGTCCACTCACCAACTCACTCGTCCACTCATCTATCTGCTCACTCGTCCACTCACCCGCTAACTCATCCACTCACCCGCTCCCTCGTCCACTCACCTATTCACTCATTGATCCGCTCACTCATCCACTCACCCAGTCACTCATCCACTCGCTCACTCATCCAATTAAAACCACCTATTGCCCGAAACGCCTATCTTGTTTTTGTTGTTGTAACTTGGTGACCCGCCCCCTACTGGACATCCGTGAAAAATACCTTCACAGCTCATCGGATTCCTCCCTCGTCGGCGGTGTGTCGTCATAGGTGGAGGTGGACAAGCGGCGATCACGCCGCGTGGCGCAGCACGTGCTGCCGCTGCGCCGCTTCCTGTCTGCGTTCCACGCCGAGGAGTGGCAGCTGCGCTCGCTGCTGCCCGACGAGATGCGCCGTCACGTGCGCGTGCCCAGCGGCCTCCACTGCGGCCCGCTCAGGTGCGCTCGCCGAGGGTGGCCCCCGCCGAGGGGCGGAACCGTGACGCGCGAGGTTTGGCGAGAAGCGCCGGGCGACGCTTTTGATACGGCCGAGGCGAGAGGAAGGTTGCGGTGGGGTGGGCATTGGCGAGATCGCTCGGACGATACGGGGCAGGGCACTGGGAGACATCGGGAGACATCGGGACAAACATTGAGACCTGCAAGACGATACAAATTAGGTGAGCCAGGTTGTAGAGGTATTCGTGTGTGTGTCTGAGCAACTCCCCAACCCCTACGCTGCCCCGCTGTGTTGACCACAGACAGTGGATGCAGGGCGCCGTGCTGACCCTGAGCTCTGGGAGGATGAACCAGCCCGTGCGTGCTCTGCACGACCACCAGCTCACGTGCGCCATGGACGGGCGCTTGGACTACATCGTCATCCCCCCGCGCTTCCAGGTGCGCGCTCCTCCACCCGGCACATAGTGGCCGGCTCGTGCAGCACGGCGGAACACAGCGTGCCGTGCGTGGGGACACCGCAGGAGCGTTGTTTTTTATCTATTGTGATAAAACGCAAGCCTGGTCGACATTGGATTGCGGGGAGGGAAACAGAAACTCCGTGAAAGTTAAAATTCGGCGTGACGAGACCGTACCTAGGGGGGGGGGGGGGGTGGGGGGGTGAGGGAGTTGTACTCGACACACAGGACCGTTGCTAACAGCTGTTGCCGGCGGATAATGATGATGATGGTGGTGGTGGTGGCGTGGTTACCCAGGGTGCGTTCGACCTGGAATGGTCGCAGCTGGAGCTGGAGGGAGCGACGTCCCCGCTCGACGTCGAGATGGTGAACGTGTTCGCGCACCAGGAGGCGGCGCGCGCCTCCTGGCGCTGGGCCACGCTGCGCTCCGGCAGCTGCATCTTCGTGCCTGCAGGCCACCTGTTCCAGGTGAGGCCAGCGTCGGACTGGGTCGCGAGGCAACCGGGCGTCTCTTCTCTAGGCTGTGCCGTGCCCGATTAGCCCCCTACATCCAGCCAAACAAGCTGCTTGGGTGTAAATTGAAACTAAAATAAACGTTTATTTCACCAGGTAAAGCCCACTGAGCCACACACGATAGCTCATCAACAGTGGTTTCTATCTTCACCACACGTGGGAATTTATCGTAGTAGCCAATTAATCTGACCGCGTGTTGATTTTGACTACGGAGGGAAAAACCGGGGGATCTGGAGAAAAATCCACTTGACCACCACGGGGAGAGAGAGAACACGTGGACTCTAAATATAGAACAGGTATCGTCAGGGTCAGGATTGAACCCACAACCTCCTGCGTACCAGGCGAGGGCGATAGCAGCATTTCACCACCGGCATGCGGGAGCTGGGTATGCGAGCTTCATGACCCGAGCCTCCCTGGAGGAGCCCAATGATGGGACCGTGTCCATTTTTTTCAAGGATCCATAAGATCATCAGACAATGTCGACTGGTAAAATCCAGAATGGATCCTTGGCAGGCCAACCTGAATTTTCAAGCCAGCGGCAGGTGTTCCTTTATAAAGGGATCCACGTATTGCAAGCGTAGATAAGAGGGCATAAATGTGGCTGAGGAGGCCCAGTGCTTCATGTGAAATAACTGGCCAGACACCTGCCGACAAAATTACACAGCCGATGAAAAGATAATGCAGCTCGACTGATTCAACGTGAGACCTCCGCTGACAAACCGGAGCTGGTCGTGAGCACATGACCCAGGAATGGGAACTCGTTATCTCGGATCGAGGAGAAAGATGCCCTGATAGTTGTACAATTGCTGGTGCCCCTTCTTGAGGATGGAGACCACCAGTGCATTGCTCCAATTCTACGGAATCCATTTTGTGGTCCATGCAGTTGTAATTACATAATATAGGGCAGCCTGCACACAATCACCAATCTCTCCCCACAGTTCAATTAATTAATTAATTTCTTCCCCGCGTTTTACCTGACCTCTAGACAACAACAGCCAGACCCGATGTGGGCATGTGTCCACACGTCACTATATCCATAGCAACCCTAACCCCAACACTGACTCTGTCTTCAATCAAAATCACATCTTAGCCTCTTCGATTCTCCAATCTCCCAATGTCACTCTTCTCATCTCCCCTTGTCCCTTCCTCTCCCCCACTTCATCTCCGTCTCTCCCCACCTCATCTCCTCTCGTCTCTCTCCTCACCTCCTCTCCCCACGTCTCTCCGTCGGCCCCCCACCTCCTTCATCCCTCAACCCCGCAGGTGACCTCCTACGGCCGTGCCCTCACCATCACCTTCCTGCTGTCGCCCGTGCCGTCGCCGTTGGGCGTCTCCGACTGCGAGCACCGCGTGCCCGGCCGGGGCCTCCCGTCGCTGTCCGAGATGACGGCGCCGACGTGGACGCTGGCCCGGGGCGGCGTCCGGCGGCCTCTGCGCGACCACGGCCTGGACCCCGCGGGGCTGCGGCGCGACCTTATGGCCGCGATGCGCGCCGAGGCGGCGCTGGACGGCGCCGCCTTCGCCCGCTTCTTCCGCGCCGCGGCGCTGCCGGAGGCCCCGCGGGAGCCCGGCGAGGCGTTCGTACGGCTCCTGGGCGGCGCCGGCGTCGGGGACGGGCATCTGAGCCGCTCCGATGTGGAGGCGTTGAGCGTCGGGCGGCTGAGGGCGTTGTCGGCGGATTTGGGGCACGACGCGGCTGCAGGTCACCACCTGGACCACGACGAGCTGTAGGGGAGGCCGCTAGGGGTCAGCGCTTCGTCCTGGGGGTTTTTCCCCAGAACGTCCGCTGTCTGGGGCGGGGCGGGGGGGAGATGTCCTGGGAAATGTTCGTGAGCGGGAATCGAATTTCCAATATGGACCAACACCAGCGATGAATGTCTGAACCGATCATGGGCCTCCCCGATGTCGACTCGGCCTTAGTCGAGTACCTGGTGCGTTGTGTAAATGTCAACATTGGGGAAACAAAGGCGGTCGGGAGTGGTGCTGGCCACCCACCCCCTTGTGTGCCATGTCGGCCATCATAGGTGCTCGCTAACAGCGCTTCCCCCAACACTCTGTTAAGGCTATATGGGGGATCTTTGTCTTTGTGTACACATACACGCATCTATAGTACACTTCCATGATTACATGCGTACAAATGTAAAAAGCTATCGTGGAAACGAATTCGCATCCCTGAACCACCGCAGCCAAGGCTTTACGGAGCCACTCTGTTGTAAGTTTGTGACTTTGTACCGTGCTTGAAATTCCCCAATAAAGACAAAAGGCTTTATTTCTGAAAGAGAAGACGCTGGGGTCTTCTGCGTAAGTCTCCACGTCGCCGGTGTGAGCGCACTTCGCCGGGTACGCAGTCAAGGCTAAGTAGACCAAGAGGAGGCCCCAAGAAGAGCTTTGGCCATAACTTGGCATCCATGTTGTCATGGCCGGGAATCGAACCCACGCGGACGATTTGTAGCGCAGGTGCGCGAACCACGGAGCTTTAACAGCGTCAGGCTTGGTCCTGACCGCACCATCCTCCCCTGCCGGCAGGGACAGGGGCCTTGGACCTTGAGGGCCCTCCCAAAATAAATATATAGACAGCTTTATGATGGTTGAAATTCAATACTGTAGCACCGATAAATTCTATGGGTAATTTGATAAAGGCATATCATCACTGGGTGTATTACTGCCAGTTATGTGTCAAATTAAAACTTTTGTTAATTTTAACTTTGGGTTGGCTTTACAATTCGTATATCACATGAACAAAAGAAAACCTAGATTTGAAACGACCAAGGCGAATAGCAATGCAGTGTTTGGCATTGGGCATTGTTGGTGATAGAGCATTGAAGACGCGGGATTGAAAATAACGCAAACTATAACATTGCGTTCAACGCTATAGGTAACGTGGTATTTAACGCCATAGCATCACCAAGTGTATTATTCCCAGTTACGTGCCAAAATGTAAATAGTTGTTAATTTTAACTCTTGATCTTCGCAGTAATACAATGTGTATATCAAATAAAATAAAAAATAAACCAGACCTGAAATAACCATGCTGAATAACGACGGAGTGTTCGACTGAAGAGCAACAACGCTCGATGGTTGCGTGTCAAACCTTGCAACAGCTGCTGCTGGAGCTCGCGGAAGGAGAGAAGCGACGAGGATGTGCGGTGTCGCCAAACAAGAACGTATTTAGCAGTGCGTGACACAAGCGGTAACGGGGAGCATTAGTTCCGTCTCGGTTTATTGCACAAGAAAAACTCGCGCGCGCGCACGTACCACATAAACACGGGCATCAACAACAGACGTGCCCAAGCCTACGCGTCCACGAACCGAGTTTAAACCTTCACACACGCACACACAAGCAGGTTAAACGGCAACACGGGGCATTCACTTCACAAAATACATCTTCAGCCATAAACACTGGAGCGAATGTCTTTTCAAACACGGATGACAAACGATTAATCATCGTTAATAACGACTCTAGATTTTGACAATATGCTGGTATGCAAATGTATGTACCTACATGACGTGGACAGATATGACAGGGAAGGAGGGGGGATCCAGCCATGGGATTATGGGGACCCCTACAAGCCGTCTTTCCACATTTACCAATCGGTCAAATGATGGAGGACGCCTGCTTTGGAGCACTGCACCAGACCGTCCGAGGTCCTGGGTTCGAGTACCAAGGCAGCGCGGTTACTCGCACGGAAGTGAACAGACGTTGTCAGCCTAGATGCTAACGATTACACAACATGTCAAAATAGAAAGTAATAAAATAACATGAACGTACCAGAGTCTATCACCATGCAGAAATAAAATAAGTTGATCAATCACCCTTCTGCACCAATGGTTTCCACGAGCACTTGTTAAAGCAATCATTGGAGAGATTTGATTAACCATTTCGGGTCTTAATTGTGTTCACGCTTACGGTGACTTTCATTCCATTCTCTTTCTCTCCCCCCTCCTCCGCTCCGAGCATAGATGGAGTCGTCCGTCTGAACAACCGCCAGTTGCTGTCCGTGGCGCTGACGTTAAGAAAAAGCCGCCACTTTTTTCAAATTTTCTTGCTGTGGTTTCCACACCTGATGATGATTGCTTGTGTTGCAATCGAAATGTCGTGAGAATTTTATAGTTGTATTTTCATTTTATTATTTCCCTTCTACATGACTTTACCGTAAGAACCAAGAATATAAACTCTGAACCGTTTGTCACTTGCGATGAGTCTCATCGGCAGAGGGTGGCCAGAGAAACAAATGCTGCTGGGTTGCCTGATAATATGACTAGAGCTGGGCTATCTGGTATTTAAGTAATTCATTTCACGACAATTGGATTAATTACTCAACTAATCGAACAGGAAAATATTTTGGGTGAAAAAGTCTCACCTCTGTTCCAACGTGTGTCACTGGACGGGAGGTGATGGGCGTGGCTTAGCGACGTCATCAGAGTCATCAGCCGTATCATGCCAGGTGCGGATTGTAGGGGGAGTTTCCGAATTTTGGGAACAGGATGTGGGGGGGGGGCAGCCACGTTTCTTTCGAGGTTCCCAGAGTAATCGGCCACAAAAAAGTAGTTGATTACATTCTTTATTCTATTAATCACCCAGAGTAAATTTTCCCAGCTCCAGCTATAAGCCGCTTTATAACAACAATAATTACGACAATTTGTAACATGCCGCACAGTATCCGCTGACTCCCGAAGAGAGAGAACAACTCGGAGTCGCGAGGAGGAGACACAGACAAGAAGGAAAGGTAGCAACACGATAAGCTGAAGCCAAATTCCCCACCCCCTCACCACAAGCTCTACGGTCCTCTATATATTAAGGTGTTATTAGCCAATTAACAAGTGCTTAGATGTGGAAACCAGAACACCCGGAAAAAACCCAGGCGTGCGAGGGAGCAACACTCTATCCCACACAGACGGAACAGGTTGAGTCCACATATTTGCCGGACCGCATTCTCCTGGCGAGCCAGGGTACGGCACCTCCTCGATGCCAACGGGGAGTTTCACAACATCTGTGTGTAATCCACCAACCCCCGCTGCCTCCACAGTGCTGGGTTACAGGCAGCCACGTGATGGCCACCACCGCCAGGCTTAACTGTGCTTGTGGTGACTCCTGCCGTCCCACATCAGGAACATCGGTCAAGAAGGGCATTTGGGTGATGGGACCTAAATATCGTTTTTAAGTTGTGCTTGGCGATACGGCCTGTTTCATTAATCTATTACCCAGAATCCACCTTGAAGGCGCATGTTACATTTAGTACATTATCTAAAATTGTGCTTGATATGAATATGTATGCTTCCTCATCTTCTGAGGTCTTTATGAGTGCACTAGTTGTGTGATGCAGAGAATAATGGTAAACATGGAAAGATAGGCCCATGTGGAGCAAAAGTGGTTCTTCAGTATGACCAATTTCATAAAAATGTATACACTTTTTAAAATATAAACTACATTGAAGTTTGCACATGGTAAAAATAAATACTACTTTCGTGGATGTTTTTTTGTCAGTTCAAGAATCTCACCAAACGTCTCACAAATACGTCGGTAAAAAGTTGTGCACAACCTCTGGGGAGAAAACATCCTCAGTCCACCTGCCACCGATGATCAGGACGTTGATGATGGCGATGATGCATTAGGAGTGATATGTGTAATAATATATCGGACAACACACTCCGCGAAGATGACGAATATTCAGAGCGCACAGTATGGTGGGGTTCTTCTCTCTACACTGCGGGCCACAGCTTGCCCAGAGATCCCACTCCATGTGCCTGCAAAGAAAGACTTTTGCCTCTGCACTCGGCAAGGCCAGGTGCGTTGGGGGCAAATAATAAAAATGCCGCCGTGAAGAAGGACGGAGGTGCTGCCAACGAGCGACGCAGGAAGAACGGGCAGTAGCCTCGTCACAGCCACCGCAGGCTAAGATGCTGAGGGTGCGGCCGACTTCAAAATGTTGTGGCCATGAGGCGACAAAGAAAGAGTTAAAAAAATATATTCACTAAGAGAACGTGGATATTTAAAACGAGAGTAGTTTACGTACCAATACTGCAAAGTAAAGGACACACACGCAAGTCTAATAAAATTAAATGTAAATAAAGCATTTCGTTTGAACCCATTGCGAAGAGCAGCAACTACCGACGAATATAAGAATAAGCCCGAACGGCCACGAAAATCGACAAATCCAGGAAGTCAACAGTTGAAGCTTCAGTAGCAGATTCGGTAACAACAGCAGCTGTGGGAGGCCACCTGAGCACAGAGGCATCGGAAGCACTATTCGCTCTCGGTTACGTCAGCGTCTCGCTGCTCAAGCAAAAGTTGGGTGATGCTCATATCCACTGGTGGTCCCGAGCCATCAATGGAAATTCCGCCTACCTATGGCAGGGACCGGTATAAACATAGGATGACAACTGTTGACTTCTTACGAAATGGTACTACTCGTGTTAACGACCATGAAGGTATAATGATGATGATGACAATAATGAGGATCATGAGGATGGTCCCGCTCAATCCCTAAACGGGATTGAATCGCGACCGCGAGATGGAATGACGGCTCAACTGATGTCACCGCCGAGACGTTTCAGCGTTGACGACTTCACATAAACAACACTGTACCAAGGTGGACCGCGGGCATCAAGGGTGATGAAAACACCCGGCTTCAGTAGACGCAGAGGTCAGGCAGCGACATCTCATAGACGGGCACGGAGCGGCGGGACGCGGGGCCGTGGGCACCCACGCCAACCGAGCCGGAGGGGCTGGGGGGAGGCCTGTGGACACACACACACGCACATACACAGACACACTCACAAACGAAGATTCCCTCATATAACATTTAATAGGCTGTTTGAGCAAGTGCTGCGTGTGAGCACCTATTAAAGGCGACACGGCACACATGAAATGGTGGGTGGCCAGTACCACTCCCGGCCAGCACCATGCCTGGCTGCTTTTGTATCCCCAGTGCTGATGTTTACACAAGGCTGAGTCGACCTAGGGGAGGCCCAGGATCAGTTCGGATATTCATCGCTGGTGTTGGCCCACGACGACGGAAAACCGAGTTCGATTCCCATTCACGAACGTTTCCCAGGACATCTGCTCCCAGACGGCGGACGTCCTGGGAAAGCCCAGGATGTCAGCGTGACGCACGAACCTGGCTCAACCGCTGTGGGATGCGGGTGACATCATCACGGAGCGGTGACGTCACCGCTGTGCACTTGCACGCCAGGCAGCAAAACTTGATTCATAGCATAGTTTGATTCTTGTGTTTTTTTGGAAAGACAAGTATCACAGATGCATGCCAATATTATTACGTGAAGCCCCCTCATCGCTGTGTGCGTGTTGGTCTTACCGTATGGTCATTTCGAAGATCTGGTTCAGTTTGTTTTGGAGGAGATTGGCCTGGGGTGTATGGGGTGTGGGGGGGGGAGACGGGGACACAAACAATCCACGTCAAGTGAATGGAGCTCAGGTGATGGTGCAAAGTTATAGGTGTGCGAGCGAGTGTGCAGGTGAGTGAGTGTGCAGGTAAGTGTACAGGTATTTTGAGTGTGCAGGTGAGTTTGCAGGTGACTGGGTGTGCAGGTGAGTAGCTATGTTGTGAAGATGAGTGAGCATGCAGGTGAATGTGGAGGTATGCAGGTGAGCATGTAGGTGTACAGGTGAGCATGTAAGTATATGAGCGTGTAGATGATCGCGTAGGTGAGCGCTATAGGTGAGCATGCGAGCTTCTAGGTGCACAGGTGAGCGTGTAGGTGTACGGGTGAGCACTGTACGGCAGCGTGTGAGCACGTAGGGGTTCAGGTGACCGTCTACGTGAGCACTCCTCACCCTGGCCTCGCACTGCGCAGCGATCTCCTCAAACGGCGCCTTCTGGAAGCGCTCCATGACCTGGCGCCGCCGCTCCCTCTCCAGCTCGTCACGGCTTGCGCTGTCCACTACACACACACAACGATCCCCGTGCAGACGTCACAGACGTTACAGACTGTTGGGACAACGTGCTGTTAGCGAGCACCTATTAGAGCCTGCATGGCGAGCAAAGGAGTGCACCGTGGCCTGTACAAAGCCCAGCCACCTCTGTCACCCCAGGTACTCATTTAAGGGCGACGCGACCTGGGGAAGGCCCCAGAACTGGTCCAAATAGTACTTGCCATTGATGTTAACCAATTCAGGTCACTGGGTGCGTAGTGCAATGCATTAAACAACTGCGCCACTGCTCCCCGCTTTGACACACACAAACACACTGGCACTCGTCCCGCATACATGAGTACACACACGGACGTACACACAAGTACATCTCAATGAAAAATTCAGCTGCAACTAGTGTGCAATGCGTTGACCGTCTTTGCTCAATGGTTAGACAAAAGCCGCTGCGACCCGAAAAACATACATTGCATTGATACTCACCAGAGAAAATCATCGATTGTGTGTGGAGTTTTTGTTTTTATTAAATTAATGTGCCGTTAAAAACGCTTTAGATTTCAGGACTGCCGCCCGCCCGCCCCCGCCCCCCACCAACCTGGGAAGTTTCTAGATCTGCCTCTGACACGAATGATTTATTTATTCCTTGTTTGTGTAGCGTCTGGTTTGAATGGGCAATGTCGCCGCGTGTGAGCCGCTCACCGATCGCCTTCTTGAGGCTCTCGAAGGTGATCTCCTCCGCCGGGGTTTTCTGCAATGGAAGAATGGAGGTGAGATGATTGAACAAATTCTTTGCACATGATAAAAAAAAACCGAAAAACAATACAAATGAGATTTAACAAATGGCTTGTGTCCATCTATCATCTCATTATCCATATATATCTGGCCATCTTTCAGTTAAATATCTATCCGTCCATCTATCTGTACTTATATCTGTTCGTTCATCTGTCTATCCATCTTTCACCCGCACCTCTGAAAATTATCACGGCTGGCGATGTACAGTGCGAAATAAATCAACATGCATACATCTATTTGTCCCACTACCTGTGCATCTGTCTTTCCGTCGATTTTTCTGTTGGTCCATCTGTCCATCGACCTATCAGCCGCATTATCTGTCCATGTCCATCTAGTTTGTCGATCTCCTCCGGGTAGCTTTACCTGCCCGTGGTTGGGGCTCCCCTTTGCCTCCTCCTCCACCTGGATGGAGATGGTGTCCACTGTGCTTTTACGCTTTGACAAGCGGTCCTCATCTGGAGAGAGAGGGAGGGGTGGTGCGACAAATCGTCTCAGGGTAAAAGGACAACTGTCATCCACGGGTGGCACAGAGCGACTCATAATGGCCGTGTCAGATCACCGAGCCGACACAGCAGAGATCATGGGTTCAGGTCCACAGCTTGTATATTTATCTCGCTGGAGACTTATAATGGCCATGCCGAAGGCCCTGAGCCAACACTGCTGAAACCGTAGGTTCAAATCCAGGCTGCAGCCATCCATGCATAAGCCAGGTTCCGGAGTGCTTGGTCACCAATGGTTGTGTAAGGGACAGGATTTCTAAAACAAATAGGACGACTGCCACTTGGCGAGCCAACTCTCTACGGAGCATGATGGGATTGCCGTCTAGCGTGGGGTGAGAGAGGCTCGTTGAAGCAACATATATTGAAACATAATCTTGGTTCTTTTGGTAAAGTCACGTAGAAGGGAAATAATAAAATAATAAAAATATAAAACAATAAAATTCTCACGACGTTTCGATTGCAACACAAGCAATCATCATCAGGTGTGAAAACCACAGCAAGAAAATTTGAAAAAAGTGGCGGTTTTTTCTTAGCGTCAGCACCACGGAAAGCAACTGGCGGTTGTTATTTTTATTCATTCCAATCATATTGTGTGGCCGATAACAGTGAATTATGTTATAACCACTTTAAATTAGTGGATTATCCAATAATTCACTTGTATTAGCCGTATAAATAGATCGGTACTCGTAATGCTTTACTACTTTAAATTGGTACTAATTTCTGTTCTGGCCCATGGACTCTTCAGGCTGATAGTTGTAGTGGATGAGATTCAGGGTTGGAGAAATGGTTAGATGTTTATGTAGACTTCATACAGAACAAGGGGGGGGGGAGTGCATGGTTACATTTTGAAATTAGTGTTTTGTATATTTCCATCCGTATGTTTTATATGGCTGTATATATACATGCATGCATATGTGTGCATTTACATATGTACATTTTTTATGCGGACGGGCCATGATGGAATAGTGGCTAACACACTTGGCTATAAGCCTGGCCACCTTGGTTCGATTCTCGTCCATGGGCAACATCAGTGGAGGTTATCTGAATCGGTCACGGGGCTCCCATATGTTGACTCAGCCTTAAATTAGTACCCGGGGCGGCCGAGCGTGGTGCTGGCCACACTGCTTCCTCATGCACCTTGCCAGCATTGACAGGCCCTCGCTAACAGCACTTTCCCCAAACTGCTTTTCAGAAGGCTACTCAATATCGTAGCCGTGCGTGTCTCACCGGTCAGCTGTGGCACGTAAGGCACCGTCAGTCGCTCCACGCTGTAGCCGCTCCCGCCCAGAGCCTCTCCGATCTTCGCCGATAGCAGCAACAGCTCAGGATCCAACCGGTCCAACGTCCGTGGCAAGCTAGCAAGAAACATAAATCGGGAAAACGAGAAAAAATGTGTTCTTAAAAATCGGCAATTATGAACATTTAAGCTATTTCATGTCATCTGATTGGACGAGCAAGTGAACCAATAATCGGTCGACGAATCGATTGCCGACTCACTGACGACTTAACGAGTAACCGCGAGTGCCTATATACACTTGGGTAACGCAGATAACTCTATTCTGAGACAACGTAACTCTAGCCTTCCAAGACTACAAGGAACCGCTCCAAGGTGACAACGGCGACAGCAGTTCCCCCACAACAGCAGCCCAGAGCCCCGATTAGCGCCGGCTCTTATCCCCCTCACGACCCGGCCACGCCCCTATTCCCGAACCCTCTCTCACCGCACCTGGCCCAGTCTGTATCTGCCCTTATTACAATTTACGACGGTCAGGTTCCGTGCTTTCCCTCACCCGACCCTGTCAACGCTTGTCGCATCAATCATTATTAGCGACCACTTAGGTCCCACATTACCCTCACGTGACCCTGTCTGTTCCCGTTACGTTAATTAGTAACCATGGCCACGGGGAGCCGTACTGTCCCTAGATCACCCCGTACTGTCCTTACACATGTGACGCGACTAATACATCTGCAGATGCACACTCTGCACGTCGGAGTGCTGCCCACTGCGTAAATGCGTAAAGACAGCCGCCCAGCCCCCATCTCACTTGGGATTCTCAGTGAACACGTGCGCAGGAAGCAGGTACGGGGCCTTCTTGCTCCGACTGTCAACCACCTGTGAACGACACGGACCCCGTTTAACAATTGCTAAATTGTCATTGTATTCATATCTAATTGGCTAATCTCACAACAGTCGTTCGACTGATCGGTAAGCTAAAACAATAACACGGAGGATCTTTGTGAGTGTGTGTGTGTGTGCGTGTGCACCTCCCAGTGATCTAAAACAATAACAAGGAGGATCTTTGTCTTTCGGTGTGTGGGTGTGCTCCTACCAGTGAGCTAAAACAATAAGGAGGATCTTCATGTGTGTGTGCACCTACCGGTGAGCTACAACAATAACACAGAGGACCTTGGTCTTTCGGTGTGTTCGTGTGCCCCTCCAGTGAGCTAAAACAACAACTGGCAGGCTCTTCGTGTATGTGCATGTGCACCTGCGTAACGTGCTGGCAGAAGGCAGGCACGGCAGTGAGCTGGCTCAGGAGGCTGCAGTAGGCGACTACGAGCGCCAGCACGGAGCAGCGCGTGGCTACGGGCGCTCCGTCCTCGCCCTGCAGAGCTGCCTCCTGCTCTCTCACACAGGGATCGCGGGAGACAAACCCATGGGGACACGGGGAAACAGATCAGCATGGCCAAATCTGCTGATCCCACCTCAACAACATTTTAAAATTTGAGTAGTACGACGTTTTGCTGGTAATTACAATCAGCTTCATCATTCTTGCCTGATGAAGCTGATTGTAATTACCAGCAAAACGTCGTACTCAAATTTTTAAATGCTGTTGATTCTCTCTTCAACACACCGGTGGGCTAAAGAAGTTAATTATTTTGTCCTTTGAAAAACGTGACACATTTTTTACTGTTTGGCCATGTTGGGTGGTGGAGGGTTACGACACATTTATAAATAACGCGATCTGACCCAAAAACCTATTATTATGAGTACCCCATCAACTGGTTCTGAGGTCTTTCCCTTGGTCACTGCAGTCATGGTGAACATTCCAATGCCTGTCTCTGCAATTGGCCCTCACCCATCATGCACACACGTCCCACCCAGCACAGCCGATTTTTTCCTAATCATAAACACAACACTTAGCCGGCATGTTCGCTTTCTGACTTCTGCATTGCTTATCCGGTCCTGCCACGATATTCCTCGCATCCGTTTCAGACACCTGTGTTCAAATGCCAACCGGTGAATTCCGAGCTGCTTAGCTAGGGTCCAACTGTCTGATCAACGCAACAAAGCACGGGCGAGGGCCAAGGGAACGGGGCCGACAGCCACACCTGAATGGCGAGGGCCAAGGGAACGGGGCTGACTGCCACATCTGCATGGCGAGGGCCAAGGGAACGGGGCCGACAGCTACACCTGTGTGGCAAGGGCCAAGGGAACAAAGCCGACAGCCACACCTGCATGGCGAGGGCCAAGCGGACGAGGTCGACCACCACCTCCTCGCCGGCCAGCTCCACGCTCAGCACGGCCAGCGTCCCGAAGAGCGCACGGAAGTTCCTCTCCGAGTTGTCCTCCCGCTGGCTCGCCAGGTAAAGGTACCGGTACAGCTGCTGGCTGTGCTGCAGTGCGGCACGGCGGCGGAGGGGGCGCAGCGCATCCGCGGCACAAAGCGGGACAAACGGAGACAACGACACAAAGCAGCACGCAGGGCAGTGACGTACGAGCACGGACTGGCACGGCGCAGAAGCATCACTCTTTTCATCACTCCCTTTTCCACCGGCACATGCGAGTGGGGCCCTCACGGTACGGGTGGTTTTCCACTGGCTATTTACCATGCCGAGCTGTTGACAAAATCGTGATATGCTGGCCTTACAAGACATTCGAAATATACAGGATGGCCAAGCTGGGTCAGGGACGGGGCTAATGTTGTATGCAATGCACGTGACGTCAGCCAATAGACTGCGAGGATTGAACCGATGCTCATCCCAAGCGAAACGTCACGATTCAGCGTCACAGTTTGATTAAAAATGTCATTATATTTGGCCATTGGGGTGAATGCAGAATTGCTAGCAGCTGCAGGATTTATAGGAACCCATCGACACAGGGTATGTTGCAAAATGTTAGCGTAACCATGCAATTAATGTGAGCGTTACAATGGATTTGAATCGATTCATTGCTACGTGTGCGGTGGCCACTGTGCCGGCCACCGAGGTAGCGTTACTCTAAAACTTGACGAAGTAGGATCCCTTGCCGTACTGCAACCTGCTTGCCACCTCGCATCCGCGGCGTGGTCTCAAGCCAGCTGTTACCCCTGAGCGGGCCCACCACCAAGCCCGCCAGAGCCAAACCGCCACCATGCCGGCCTCACCTTCTTCATGAAGAGCACGTCCTGGCGGGAACACTTCTCCATCTTGAGATTCAGCACCGCGATGTCGGGCCAGATACTGCGGTGGCAGCAGAGAGTGCGGTTCATCACCATCATCATCGTCACTTGGTGTTTATGACGTGCCTCCCATGCACGAGTTCTCGAGGCGAACTGCAGCAGGGGGACTCCCAGTGACAGCTGATGCAGTGAGGTGTCAGGCGAATGCACAACTGGCCAACAATTGGGGCATTAGTCTGCCAGGAGGGGGTGATATTGCCATGTGTGTACCGAGTGGAGGCGTTATTCACGAGTAGTTTATCAAACTTGGCACATTTGGAACATGACACAGGCACAGACTGGCCTACTCTTATCCAAATAATCGCATCGGATCTTTAAAGTCCACTGTGAAGCAGACAATGTTTGTTTCATGGTTAATACACTGGCAGTATTAACCAGGACGGATGCTGGGCTCAAACTGCACTCCATCTACAACAAGCGTCAAACGTGCGACTGCTGGGTCATGTCAACGTGTAGCCAACGAGTTTGCTGCGAGAACAATTTTCACAGTACAACATGATGTACATTTTCGTTACATGACCATTACCCAATTTTCCCAAAACTTGGTAACTGTGCTTTGCGCTTGTGTGCTTTAAGGTACTCCGCACCTCCCGATTAGCATGGTTGACTACGTACAGTGCGAAAAAGATTCAACATATAAACATACTTCCAGTGTGAATGAAGATTACTTTAAAGGTCAAATAACTTCCGTGATCCACAACACATACAGAGGCCCTTTTCCCAGCGGTGGACTGACAAAACGGGCGCACGCGTGTGCTGATTATGCCTTCTTGTTTTGCTCGCCCACCCACCTGACGCTCGCAAACTTTTGTCGGTTGCCATGACGATCAACCAGGCTCTGCAGGATCTCCATGACGATGACCCTCAGGTCGGGGTGCTCCAGCAGAGAGAGGGAGAGCAGCGGCTCGAGGAAGGAAGATGGCAGCCCGCTCGTCATGTTGGACACGTGGTAACCGCACGTCACCTGGCGCGCACAAACACAAGCGTCTCTCGTGTGGCCTTCATCGGACTGATGGGGCAAGTGTTGTGAGCGAGCACCTATTGAGGCCGGCACAACGCACGAAGGGATTGTGCGGGCTAGGACCATGCCCGGCCCCTGCCTTAATCTCCACCACAGTGCTAAAGTGTATACGCCATCTTCTTGGTTCTTTCGGTAAAGTCACGTAGAAGGAAAATAATAAAATAATAAAAATAAAACATAATAAAATAATTCTCACGGCCACAACGCAAGCAGCCGTCCTCAGGTGAAGAACAGGTCTGTCGGAAAGACAGCGCTGTCTTTCCGACAGCGCTGTCTTTCCGACAGCGCTGTCTTTCCGACAGACCTGTTCTTCACCTGAGGACGGCTGCTTGCGTTGTGGCCGAAACGTCGTGAGAATTATTTTATTATGTTTTATTTTTATTATTTTATTACTTCCCTTCTACGTGACTTTACCGAAAGAACCAAGAAGATGAATCCCTGCAGTCACAAAAGCTTTAAATCGAAATTGTATACGCCATGCCAGGTACTGGTATAATGTGCTGAGTCAACTCGGGGGAGACCCAGGACTGGTTTGGATATCACCACCAATGTTAATCGTGGATGGAAATCGAGTCTGAGTTTCCAGGTTCATGGCTTCAACAACCATGTGATGCATGCACACAAAGACAAGATCCCCCGTGTATCCTGAACAGATTGTTGGGCGAAGTGCTGTTAGCGAGCACCTCTGAAGGCCGGCAAAGCACACGAGGGGGTGGGTGGCCAGCTCCATGCCCGACCGCTTTTGTCTCCCCAGTGGCAATGTTTACAGGCTGGACGAGGTACTAATTTGAGGCTGAGTCGACCTAAGGGAGTCCTTGGACTGGTTCAGATAATCGTCTCTGGTGTTGGCCGTGAGCGGGAATCGAACTCAAGCCACCATGTTAATAGCGCAAAGCGCTAAATGCTACACCACCGCTCCCCATGTTTAAACACTCTCCCCATCTATGCTGCCTTCGCCAAACCGCACAGATTAGGGGAAGGCACTCGTCCAGCAGTGGACTGACATATACGTGAAAGGGCTGTACATAGACGTGAATACTATATAAGGCATGTGTACACACACAGGTGTGCACGTAGACCAGTGTGAACTTGTACAAACACCCAGAAGCATGGACATGTGTGTACAGGTTACGGTGCAAACGCCACACAGGCCTCACCTGCAGCACAGAGCGCAGCAGCATCGTCTGGATCAGATACATGGCCTCCTCACTGCAACCACACATAAAGACCCCCCCCCCCCTCTCGGTCATTTAATCTACTCAAGACTGCTGCAGAGAGTGGTGTTAGTCAGCGTGCAATGATTTACTGGTTTAGACACCACATGTCAGTCATGTTAGCTGGGAACTGAACTCATGTTGTCAAATTTGTCGTGCAGTGCGTGAATCACTCCTGTGCACATACACAATTCCATTAACAGACCACACTGTTATACACCCTCACACTGCACACATGTACGTGCACACGAATCCAATCGTTTGTGCGATCCTGTTGAAGCATTATATAAACATGCATGCCGCGCTCTGTTTGAATGGACCGAAAAGATCTCCAGAGGCATGATCTTAAACGAAAAAAATTACGCGAAGGAACATCAAAGGGGTGACTCAGTGTGCACCGCTTGTGTTAGCCACACCAAGCAAGGGCGCAGGGCACACCACACACAGTATGCTCAGGGGGTTCATGGGGATTGTGGGAAGGGAATGGGTTCGCAGACAGAAAGGGGGATTATGGGATAGTAAGGGAAGGTGCAGTCGTTAGCGATGGGGATTGTGGGAAGGAAAATAATGAATAGGGGCGGCAGTTAGTAAGGGGGAGATTATGGGAAGGGAAAGGAATGGCATGAGTAAGTGAAAGGGATAGTGGGAAGGGATAGGGGTGGTGGCACTTGGTAGGAAGCTACCTCTCCAAGCACAGGGACGGGCCCCAGGGAGGCGAGGGAGGGAAAAGAGTTTCCCTGAAAGGAACCGCAGAGTCTGGCCTAACGGCACGCACACACACGCATCAAACTCCACGTCGGCTTTGTCTTAGTTGTTCTTTTGTGTAATCGTGTGCGTTAATGTGGCGCACTATTTTGTATTGTCCCCCTTTTTCCTCAGTGTGAAAGCAGTGAAGTTTGGTAAAGCAAAATTTGGTAAATATGTGCGTGTGTGTGTGCACGTACAACCCAATGACTTGAGTGTGTATAAGAGTGTGTGTGTGTGTTCGTGGAAGTGTGCGTCCAAACCTGTGTACACAGGTGCACATGTCAATGTGTGTGCTATTATGCGAGCCTCAAATAAGTACCTGGTGCGGTGTGTAAACATCGCCACTGGGGAGACAAAGGCGGTCGGGCGTGGTGCTGGCCACCCACCCCCTCGTGTACCGTTCCGGCCTTCATAGGTGCTTGCTAACAGCACTTGCCCCTACAGTCTGTTAAGGCTATACGAGGGTTCTTTGTCTTTGTGTATGGTGTGGGAAGCGGTAGTGTAGCGGTTAGCGTGCTGCACTATGAACATGGCAAGCCCGAGGTCTGTTCCCACTCATGGCCAACAACGGTGATGATTATCTGAACCGGTTCTGGGCCTCCCCTAGGTCGACTCAGCCTCAAATGAGTACCTGGTGCGGTGTGTAAACATATTCACTAGGGAGACAAAGGCGGCCGGGCGTGGTGTTGGCCACCCACCTCCTCGTGTGCCATGCCGGCCTTTATAGGTGCTTGCTAACAGCACTTGCCCCAACAGTCTGTTCACTCTATATGGGGGATCTTTGTCTTTGTATAGTGTGGGTGTGATCATGCCAGCTTAAGTAATAATAATGGTGAGTGTGTGCATGCCTCTGTGTAGTGTATGTGTGTATACATTTAAATGTATGTAGTGTGTGTGTGGACATGCACATGTGTATATAAATGTGACTGTGTCTGTCTCCGTGTGTCTGTGTGTGTTGTGTGCTTGCAAACATGCCAGCATATGTGTAAATATATATAAATGTATGAGTGTGTGTGTGTCGCCGTACATGTCTCTGTGTGTGTGTATTGTAAGCGTACCCGCCGTGGCCAGCACAGAGGCTGGGCTGGCACCCTGGAAGAGGCATCTTGCCCATAATGAAGAACATGATCTCCGAGCGCTGGTAGTTGGGCAGTGTGGTGGCAAATGAACCTGGCAGGAAGCACGCACAAAACAACCGGTCATCTCGCCCCACACGGACCAAAGTAATGCCACCAAAGCCGACACAGTGTGTCCGTGTGTGTCTGTGGAGGAGGCTCACAAATATGATGCGACTGGGAAGTTGAGATGTATTTTCCCTCCAAAGACAATGGAGGGTGGAAGGAGTGAGGCTTACAACTACGGCAGAGTGCTGGTCCTCTAAAACACAGCAAGTTGCCACAGTGGGAAGCACAGTTGGTGGTGAATCTGTCAGTCATCTCAGTCAGAACCCATAAAAATGGGAACCTGTCACGTGACCTCTTGGCAGTGAGCCTTCTCCACTTCACATGGCCTCAATCTGCGCATCAAAGTCACTTGCTGGTAAATGGCGGCTATGTTCTTGTTGTGTATGATCTGTTTGTGCATTTGTGCAGATGCTTGTCTATGTGTGTATGTATGTACGTGTGCTTGTGCATGCCTATCACTTTATGCGCCTTTGTTTTTTTGTGTATCTGAGTGTATTTCTGCATGCCTTTGTGTGCCCGTGTGTGTATGTTTGCCTGTGTCTTTGTCTCAGTTTGCGATTACGTGCACAGGTATGTATATCTGCGTGTGTGTGTTTGTCCCGTGTCTTCCTGCCAGTGGGCATTCGACACTTTACGTGGCCTTAAAGTGTACATAGCCTGGCACAAGCGCTGTGGTGACGTCACCGCCACTTAGTAGCGAATGACGGTTGTTGTGTGTCTTTGTCTGCATCAGTGGCGAGTCATTTCAGAATGTGTCCTGGGTCTCCTTTAGATCAAAGTCAGCCTTAATTTTGTATCTGACGCGGTGTGTAAACACCTGCAAAGGGTCAATAAAGATGAGGGGGCATCCTGCTGATCACACCACCCTCTCATGCCCTGCAAGTGACAAACCACATTTAAAATTGTTTGAAATTTTCATACAGTCATACGTGACCGGGCTGAGACCATCGCTATATTTGCGAACTCAGTTTTCATGACGGGTGGCTCTGAAACCAGGATTTGAATCCGAGATCTCAACCGTGCCATCTGAGTGCTCCGACACATAGTGTTCACCTTCTGAGCTGCATGGCTACCTCTGTGACATGGCCATTGTGAGCTCCCTAGAGGCAGCCGGCCAACTCACCGATGGTCTTGATGAGCGACTCCTGGAACATCTTCTCCTCCTCGTACTCCGTGTCCTCGTCCTCGTGGGAGCCTCCGCGGCCCGTCAGCTGGAAGTCGACACTGAGCCGCACATGGCGGAGGAGCGTGTTGCACACTTCTAGCACCGTGGGGCCTGGGGGCACATAATGGCCAACAGTTGTCAGATATCGTTATCATCGTCATCGTCATCATCATCGTCATCGTCTTCATCATCATCATCGTCATCGTCTTCATCATCATCGTCATCATCGTCATCATCGTCATCATCGTCGTCTTCATCGTCATCACTTCATGTTTATACCACACCTCCTATGCAGCACATCTCAAAGTACCCTGTGCTATGATAGGGGTCCCCCAGAGGCAGCTGTCCCTGTGAAGGTACAAGGTGATCGCAGCACCGGCCGGTAAGTGGGCATTGTCTGCCAGTCGGGGGGCCGGGGGAAGTTGCTAAGTGGCTTCCCAATTAAGTAGAATGCGAGTCACCTATTATAAAAGCCCGGCATTCCGTTTGTCCGTCAACTAAATTATAAGAGCCTTTTGGAATGCATGAAGCAAAAAGGTATAGAAAGTGGGAAGAAGAAGACATCAGTGGGGGTGACGGGGAAGGGCCAAGGGGCAAAGCATCAATAAGCCCTCTGCAGGAGATTGAATAAGGCAGCCATAGGCCGCCAAAATTCTAGTATATAAAATCTTACAAATATGAACTATGAAGTCACCTGATGGCGGTCGCTTGTGTTGCGATCGAAACGTCTTGATCTATTATTTTTTCTATCTACGTGACTTTACCGAAAGAACCAAAGAGCATGGATTCCTGCAGTCACGAAAGCTTCAAATCCTGAATGAACTATAAACATTGGCGGTCAAGGACAGGCCCAAAAGTTTTCGGATAACTGACTGCAATGAATGGCAAATGCACCACTTGTGCTCCCCACCATGTCAATCTGGTGCTCTGCTCGCCATTGCCTCTTACTGTTCTGTAGCATCCTTCACGAGGCTTTGTAACAACATCCGCCATTCACCACTAAGTGGCAGTGATGGCACTTATGCCATGCTAAGTGCACTTTCAGGCCACGTGAAGTGTTGAAGGCCCGCTGGCAGGAGGTCACGAAATAGACCCAGGTGCCATGGGTTGACTAATTGGGATAACTGGCAGATGCACCAACTGTGGTGTGCCAACTCTCTGCGTTTTAGCCGCCCGACGCTCCGCTCGTTGTTGTGAGCGTCCCTCCCCTGCCCTCCGTTGTTTCTGGAGGACCTGCCTCCAACTCCCCAGCATCGTCCTTCACAAACCTCCTCCACACAGTCACACGCACGCAAATGCGCGTACCCACGGATCCGCCGGCGGCTATGGCCACGGTCTCGGCAAGCACCTGCACCAGCCCTGCACGCACGCGGGCGCTGTCCTTGCTGTGAGTGTCCAGGTGCCCGAGCAGCTGCTGCAGAACCAGGTGCGAGTGCTGTGCCTGCACACGCAGCAGCACACAGCATGGAAAGCTGTGGCGTGTATGAATGTATGTTGAACTTCTTTCGCACCGTACGTAGCCAACCGTGGTAATCGGAGGTGCTGCGTAGTTATTGAGTGTGTGCATGCGGTGCAAGTGCACTGGGGTTCCTGGTTCCGAGGGGCCCAGGCGCTTGGCTATGGAGAGTGGGGGAGGGGAGAAATTAGACAGGGAGCACCATTTCATCGCCTGTGCTGGGCACCAGGCCAACCACATACGCTACCGATACCCATTAACGTATTTCGTAACCTACCAACTAACACAGCAGTGACCGAGAGGCCCACACAGAGACCCCTACACTTACACAAAGATCCACAAATAATGGAACTAAAAGGCTAACATAGGACCCATAGGTTAACATGTATGTATATGTTGAACTTCTTTCGCACTGTACGTAGCCAACCGTGCTAATCAGAGGTGCGAGAGAATTACAACAAACTAAACACAAAGAGCAGTTCTAAAGGAATGAGTTTTCAATTTAGACATCGGAACTAGGGGCGTAGCTGTTCAGTGTGCAGGTGGAGCAACTGCGCCGGGGCCTACTGGCTAAAGGGGCACAGATCCCGGGTTATGAATAGGGGAAAGGCATGGGTGGCAGATTCTTGGAAGGTGCCACTGGCGTGAGGAGTCACGTGGTGAGACAGCTCAGTGACAGTAAATAGGGGGCACTATTTCATTCCTCGTACTCGGGTCCATGCCAGCCACGCTACGCTGATGCACGCAAGACCAGTGATACCGAGTTTGAAGCTCGGGTACCATTATCGTCATCATGACCTCTTGACCTAGTCCAAGTTAAAAGTCAAATAAACTACGGCTCCCTGCTAAAAGAAGTATGGGGTGACGCAGCGCTAAGTCGGTGGTGGAAATTACACTCTCATGGTGAGGATAGTTTCTACACAGGACACGTGCTGTTGATTCCCACAAAGTGGTAGTCCTCACCTTGACCCAAGTCAACAGAGTGCATTCCTGTTTAAACGAGAGTTAGGCACTGCTCATCTCTAGTGAGGGCCTAGAAGAGCTACTGAAGGAAATTCCATATTCCTATGGCAGAGATAAGTCTGTCAATTGGACGTAAGCGAGGACCATGTGAAGCCGATATCGAAGAACAGAGGTGACCACTGTCGTTCCTGCCCGATGCTGGTCCTATCACCCCCCTACCCTGTGTTTCGTCTCACCTGAGGAGTCAATCACTCACAGCAATGCTGCTGGAACAGACACAGGAGGTGTTGCGTGTGTACGCACCTGTATGGAGTACATGACGATTTTGAAGCATCGTACAGCAAAAGCGTTGGGGTCCCAGAGCTGATGGTTGTCCAGGTGTCTGGAAGATGTGTGTGCAAACAAAGATCCTGCATTCGCATTGACTGTTGGGATAATTCATAACACGCAAAGTGCTTACCACAAATGAACCACACAATACCTTGCTGATCTCGTCTAGGAGCATAAACCATCACGCGAACTCCGGTCATCCTCGCAGCGGCTTTTGGCTAACCATAGAACAAAGACGGTCACTGCATCGCGCGGTTTCAGATGCGCTTCTGCGGACGTCTTGAACGCTCTTCTTTCCGATACTGGAAGGCCACTGGAGCTATGCACTTTTAAATCTCGATTAAAAACTAATTTCTTAAGAACTGCTTTTTGTGTTAAGTTTGTTGACCTTCCCCCGCAACTCCCATTAGCATGGTTGGCTATGTACGGTGCGAAAGAGGTTGAACATACATACAAGTATGGTGGGGAGCACCTATTAAGGCCGATATGACACATAAAGAGATGCTGTGGCCAACATCACACCCACCTACCTCGGTCTCCCCAATGCTGATGTTCGAATACAGCAACAGGTACTCATTTAAGGAGGAATTGACCTCGGGGAATGACATCACAGAAATATTTCTGAGGTCTCTCCAACTGCTTCCTAGCCACAGTCAAAGAGGGAGGGAATGAAAAAGGTAGAAGGGTGGATGTGGTAAGTGGGCAGGAATCAAGGTAGAGGGTGTGGGAGGTTGGGAGGAAGGGGAGATTGAGGGAGAGAAGAGGGGAGGGAGAAAGGAGTTGTGAGTGGGAGGGAGGACAGCAGGGAGTGGAGGGAGTGAGGAAGGAAGGGAGGGGGAGAGAGATGGGGATGGAGAGATGAGGAGGGAGAGTCTGGGATGGCAGAGAGGGAGGGAGAGATGGGGATAGGTAGGGATGGGAGGGAGCTGGAAGTCTGGCTCCCTGCAATGGAAGGGAGGGAGGGAGGGTGTGCCATACACAAGGACGGGCCGGATGACGTTCTTGATGTTGCCATAGGCGGCACGGCCGAGCAGGTCGCGCAGGCAGCTCTCCCCGAGACACGCGGGGCTGTCTCGCTCCCTCTCCGTCACCTGCAGCGGGGACGGGGACCGGCTGCGCATGCCAGCACACGCATTCATTGTAGTGGCGTACTGTGGAGAGACGTAGTGTGAAGTGGTGTAGCGTTGCCTGGGAGGCGCCGCGGACCTGTCAGCTGGGTCCGCGTGCTGCATGTTGTAGAGCAGGGAGGGTACGATCTTGTCCATGTGCTGCGGCTCCCAAATGTCGGCCTGAAGCTCATCCTTCACGGTCTTACGCACGACGCCCTGCAGGCCCCTGATGCCAGCCATGCGCACCCTGGGCACCAACATCATTGTTACCATCAATGACATTATTACCAACACCACCACTAGCATCATCGATACTTTCATCTTGCGTCAACAACATTGCTAAAGTCACTGCCCACAACATAGACATTATTGATAACACTGCCACCAACGCTGACACCATCACTGAAACCATCACCAATAGAGGAGGGGTAAGAGTGGAAGGGTCAAGGAGGAGCAGTCAAAGATCGGAGATCAGGCTTGAGGGATGGGATGAGAGGTCGGAGGGTAGGGCGACCGCACTTGTTGGTGGCGTCCGGATCATCGTGGCTCTGGTGGCACATGGCGCTGAACTTTGACACGAAGAAGTCGTAGCGGCGGTGGTACGAGGGGGTGTCCTCCTCAATGTTGGCAAACTTCACAAACTGTCGCCGCAGATTTTGAGTGCGATGGGGTGAGGGAAGGAAAGAAAGAAGGAGATAGGGGCGGGAGTAATAACACAGAGATAAACTAAACTATAAAATACACCTTTTTTTTCTTTACTAGGTAAGGCTCACTGAGCTGTATAGCTCTTTTTCAGAAGTGACCTGGCCAAAAATGACAGCTCAACAAAGTGGCGGCTTATCATTTGTAAATGTATAGCAGCCAAGTACTCGAAACGCATGATTCTAAATGTGGAGGGAAAAAACCAGAGGACCCAGAGAAAACTTCACACAACCATATGGTCTTAAGAATGGGTGAAGCTTTCTTGAGATAATAATAATAAAAGGCATTTGACAGCACATTTATTAATTGGATAAAATCAATTCTCATGTTCACTATGAATGAATAGACTCATGTGTGAGAATGGATAGACAAATATAAAAATAGCTTACATTGAGCGGATACTTTTAAGTGTGGCTTGGAAACAGATTATTAAGAAGTAGGCAATATATGCAATTCTATTCCATTTTCGTAAATGGCAATACGTTCAATAGCAAAATGCTAATGCCAAAGTCTGTAAGCCTCGAGAGAGCATCAGGAGAGCGTTTGTGTAGTTTTCCTATTCGTCTTTCTGGATCTGGGTGACAGCCCGATCAGAGAAGGGAGATCTGGACTTGAGATGGCATGGAGGTACAATGTTGACGTCTTGATTAATGGGTAAGTTGTGGTTGGCAAGAACACGTGTAAGCTCCCTTGCATGTCTCTGCGAATATTTGGTGTCCAAATGTTTGCTAGAACATGGAGCTACTTCTCACACTTAGTTTAAGCTTCGGTTCACATAATAACACTGCTACAGGCTCGTATATTATTGAGTACTTCTAATGATCAGTATGTAGCTTAACCAAAAATCAATCATGAATAATTAGATTTGATGCAAATGATATGCATATGATATTCTATTCCTTTTAGGCAAGTATAGCAAACAGAAATGTGCAACCAAATCACGTGCATATGCATGGTTTACGTAATGGTTTCCAACATGCACTTTTTATGCAATCAGCAGCATGACAGCTGACAGGAAGCTGTTAGGGGGAAAAGCATTTGCATATTAGCAACTTTTGATATTTTCTACGAGTGTTATGGACGCAATAGACAGTCAGAAAGCAGTCATAAGGAAAAACACAAGATGACAAAAATGAGACGAAAATATTATTAGATGATGATTAGAATTGCACCCCCCAAATTGCGATAACCTATCAGTTCTCAGGAGCGAGAGGTGGTGTGGGGAGGGGTGGCTCTGTACATAACAAGTAAATCATTGTTCGCATTATCAGCATCATTATAATCATCATCATTGTTATCCTTATCCAGTGAGCGAGATGAGGTGGGGTGAGAGGCAGCTGGGCAAGAACGCACCGAGTTGGTGCCCAGAACCTGCATCTCGGGCTCGCTGCACTCCAGGAGCTTGGCCACCATGCGCAGGAAGCTCTCCACAAAGAGGTTGATGCTCTGCGAGTGGCACGCCATGAGAAGTTGGTCCAGCGCCTCCATGGCAATAAACACGTAGCTGGGAGACACGTGGAGGAAATGTGCGATCAGGTGGTGAACACATCTGCAAGCTGAATAAATGTATCCTTTATAAAAAAAATAACAAAACAAATATAGAGGAATGCATAGCAATTGTTGACACCGGCACACAGCCTTGCTGCCTTCCAACTCATCTGTGAGTTGCAATTTGCATCAATGACACTATTAAAAACTTGACGTTATTATTAACTAATTGGCTAATCAGCAGTCATTTTAAAAGGCCGACCTCTATAACGCTGGAAACCCATCGCAGCCCACTATTGGTACCAACTTGTGTGTGCCGGTTATCTTTTTAATGCATTGGTTTGCGAGAGCTGAGATAGCTCCCATCAGTTTATACTGAATCAAATTATTTTCGTAATATACAAAAAGCTATGAATAACGGAAAGCCATATTTATTTGTCTACTGCAGAATCTGTAATTTCCATGTGGTCAATGGTATAAAAACCTTCTCTAAAACCAACCTAATTACTTAAATAGTCGTTAAATAACGAATGACTTAAAGAGGTATCCGAGCTCTAATTGAAACGAGTAGCATATGCGTCTGCGTGCCCACGTGTGCTTATGTTCATATTCGCGTGTACCCATGGCGGTAGTGCCGTGCCACATCTCGGCTGAGCCGCTCCGCTAAGTATGCCCCGATCCGGTCAAGCTTTTCCGGTGCGGAGAGTGCGTAGAACGTCAGCTTCTCCATGTTGGCCTTCATTAACCCCTCCTGGGATGCGGAGGGAGAAAAGAAAGCGAATGGAGGACAGAGGACAATGAAGAATAAAACAGAGAGGACAATGGAGAGAGGAGAGATAAAAGCGGTGAGATAGAGACAAACAGAGAACACTTACCATGGATTATAGTTGTCTCTATGTCAGGTGGGGTTTGCGATATTGTTTGTGTGCCTGTGTCTTGTGTGTTTGCTTCTGTGTGTGTGTGTGATTCACTCACAGCAGGATCCTCTGGGAATATATTGTCTACTAGCTGCTTGTAACGAGGTCGCAGAGCACCACAGCAGCCACACACACCTGCAACACAAGCACAAAACCCCCCCGAACCCAGTGTTAGCATGAACAGTCTACTGATGCAAGTTAAGAGAGCGAGCACCTATTAAGGCTGATATATAGTGAATATATAAGCGTGATGGTGCACCCTATCTCACACTCACCACTCTGTCTCTGCTTTGGTCACTAATTGGAACCTATCCGCTGCTAATTTCAGCCGTTGTTCATAATGGAAAAATAAATAGTAAGTTCATTAATTTAGTTTTCCCCACTGAATTTTGATTCCCACGAGGCCGACATGCACTGGTCTAATCCTGTTGAAATGACGTCACGGAATCTTTGGGTCAGCCAGCACAGCATCACATTATCACCACCAAGGAATAGCCGTCCACAAACAATACATGATTACTTTTGCAGTCACAAAATAATACATCTCTCTTACCACATCCCTCCTTCTTGCTATGCAACTCGAGGTTTACCAAGATTCCGGTATTTGACACAGATCGAATTGAGCGACGAAGAAAGTTGTTCATGTATTTAGATTTTTGTGTAATAATTCGTGACCTGGCTGTGGATGAATGAATCAGATCTAAGTGGTATCAGTTCATAAATCTACGAAGAAAGTATCTATTTTTCCTTCAGCAATCACGATTTCTGTTTACATCTCATCTCTGCCTCTGCATCTCTCAGTCTTGATCTCTCTCTCACAATATTTTGAGTCTCATTTGTGTTTACTAACATAGATATTATGAGCCCTCTGATCAACCCAGTTGAAAGACCGACAAGCACTGGCATCAGGCTTTGCAGCAGATTGGCAGAATAGATAATAAATGATGTGATTTGTCGCCGCGTGTGGATGATCCTGAATCCTGAATACATCTGCAAAATTCTCCAACAGACCATCGTGTAACCAACCCCACTGCCCATCTCGCTCGCTTCCCTCCCTGCTTGCGAGCTGTCGCGCGTGAATGTTTTTCCTGTTGCAGTTGTTTTTGAGGATAGCAGGCACCATTGGAGTCCTACAAGAAATGAGCAACTGTGAGCGCAGCCCCGCTACGTGGACAGATTAACAAGGCTTTCCGCGAGTGAGCAAACAAATGTGCATTCATGCGCGTGCATGTGTGTGTGGGCGAGCATTACCGGTATGTGATGGGCAGCATTGAGCACCGCACATGTCCATCACCGTTTCACAGCCGTGCCTCTGTTACTCCTGACCCTGGCCCTAACTCTCGACCTGAATATCTGCAGCTTCGATCGCCTGCCCGCCTGCCTGCCAACCTCTGCACCCTCCCCCCTCTTTGCCCCTCCTCCCAGCTTTCCTCTCTAGCTGTTTCTCAATATACCACCAGGATCTCTGCATCACTATATTTATCATTGTCCTCATATCCTCTCTCTCTCTCCTTCCCTGAACAATTATCTCTTACTCTTGTCTCTAATGTTGTTGCTCTCAGAAGATTATACAAAATTATCCACCGACTAGTGACATTCATTATCTCACTTTTTCCATAACCAATCCCGTTGCTCCATCAGTTTGTCTCCATCTGGGTCTCAGTAATTGTCTTTTTATCTCTCATTTATTCCAGGAGGAAGATGCATTTGTCCTCCCAAACCAAGGCAACCACAATACCCAGTTAAGAACATGGATGACCCAAGTGCACACACATAACGTGCTTGCAAATACAACTCTGACTCTAAATCCGCACCCACCATCTCTATTTTGCAAAAGCGAATTTGAATGTAGATCTATAGACCGGGTGTCTAGAATGTTCTGATCTTTGGGCCAACTTCAAGACTGATCCGCGTACATAACGGGTTCTATGTACGCATTTAACGATGCATCGATTATACTCGGCTTCAAATAAATGTGTACGCTCACGATGCATGTATGCAATAATGTGTCTGAGTTATTTACGCTTGAAAGAAATTGTGTGCAACACGATATGCTAATGTTGTTACATTTCAGGCTAATGATGACAAAACTGTATAAATGAGACAAAACAAGAAACAATATAAAATGAGGCAGTAAAACCAGATTCATGAATCGAATCAAGACAATTTAAGCATTTGCAAGGGGGTTATGAATAATTACGTGCCTAGTTTTGGGTCCATATAAGCCCCATGAACATTCGACACCAAGTAAATGATTTGCTCAATGCTTGCACAATTCAGTCAAAATGAGAATGTTTATTTTTCCTGTAGAAGCCAGATGAATTATGAAGCTTTTTTCACAGATGTCCAGTCTGGGCGGGTCATAAAGTTACACAAACAACGATTCTACAGTCTCTGCATTATACACATGCCATGTCTTTTAACCCTGAACCTCACTCTATCCCACGTCTGGGAATGTATTTTGTTGCTTATACTGTATTGTATTATCCACGATACATTGCAACTACTTTATATATATTTCCCACCGAGGTTTTCCTGCAGTATTTATCGATGCAGACAACCTTGAGGCTCATAAATAGGAGAATGCCCTCACAATTATGAAGTACTGTACTGCCAGATGTCCTACATTTTACCAGTTGGATTCTTTACCCGGTTTCAAATGAAATGAGTCTCATCAGTAGATGAATACCGTACTGTATACGATACATTAATGCCCAATTATAACATGATAGAGTGAATAATTTTAGACGACAAAAACCCCACACAAGATTGTTAATATTAAACGCAAGATAAGCCAAAAATACATTTCAATACAAACGCGCTTTTCCAAAACCTCAAAATGCCCTCTTTAAAGCCACGCTTCGGTCCGGCCGTGTTGACACAAAATAACGGCACAGTACTGCCAATTTAAAAAATAACAAAACGAAAATGTACACGGTACAAATGTGTACTTAATGTATGAACACTCTAATACATGCGTGCTCTTTGCGAGTATTAATGTTAATAGCTGGGGTATTTAAAGCCCTTCGTACTGTATACAAACATACGAATAACGGAACGCGACACGCGAGATCATTCCCGTTCCTGTCAGCCCCTTATCAGTGCCAACCTTATTACAGACCAATTCACACCTTATTGGTCACCCCGTGCCCCTTACAAATATCAATGTTCATCCTATAAAGTCCCACCACAAGAGAGAAACACAAACAAATAGATAAACAAAAACGTTGCGCTTATTGAAACGGCGTACGGACCTGAAAACTCAATTCCCTTGTACAAGAATACGTGGTAAACCGTATGGGTTGACATGTGATTTCATATACAGAAGCAATAAAAGCAATTTTCAGCAACTTGGCAGATAAATTGAACTCACTGGACATGACGTCTTGCTCAGGGCTTTGTCAAACCTTGACTTCTTTCGGTTTTTATAATGATAAATCTCGGCGTGGTCGAGAGGGCGCGTGCGGCCTACTTGGCTTTGCCCGGTTTGAGAGCGCTTCGCCGGCAGAGTAACTAGTCGAGGACGGCGGGTCCGCTAGGAGTGTATGTTTTATTGAAAAAAAAAAACTTGATTATTGTTTGTGCTGTTTGCGTGGATTTATGCACGTGGGGTTTGGTATTGCAGGTGAATTAATACGGTGTGGTAATTAATAATAATGCAGCGGTGCAGTGGTGAAGATGGTCGTGGTGGTGGTGATGATGGAGTTATTATGGAGATGGCGACAGAGGGCGCCCTTGTGTGAGTGGGTGTCACTGATTGTTGTGATGTGATATTGATTGTTGTGATGTGTCACTGATGAGATGGTGTCACTGATTGTTGTGATGTGATATTGATTGTTGTGATGTGTCACTAATGTGATGGTGTCACTGATTGTTGTGATGATGTCACTGAATGTTGTGATGTGGCACTGAAGGTGTCACTGATTGTTGTGATGTGACACTGATGATGTCACTGATTGTTGTGATGTGGCACTGATGACGTCACTGATTATTGTGATGTGACACTGATTGTTGTGATGTGATATTTATTGTTGTGATGTGTCACTGATGTGATGGTGTCACTGATTGTTGTGATGATGTCACTGATTGTTGTGATGTGGCACTGAAGGTGTCACTGATTGTTGTGATGTGACACTGATGATGTCACTGATTGTTGTGATGTGGCACTGATGACGTCACTGATTATTGTGATGTGACACTGATTGTTGTGATGTGATATTGATTGTTGTGATGTGTCACTGATGTGATGGTGTCACTGATTGTTGTGATGATGTCACTGATTGTTGTGATGTGGCACTGAAGGTGTCACTGATTGTTGTGATGTGATATTGATTGTTGTGATGTGTCTCTGATGTGATGGTGTCACTGATTGTTGTGATGTCACTGAATGTTGTGATGTGGCACTGATGATGTCACTGATTGTTGTGATGTGGCACTGATGGTGTCACTGATTGTTGTGATGTGATATTGATTGTTGTGATGTGTCACTGATGTGATGGTGTCACTGATTGTTGTGATGTGATATTGATTGTTGTGATGTGTCACTGATGTGATGGTGTCACTGATTGTTGTGATGTGATATTGATTGTTGTGATGTGTCTCTGATGTGATGGTGTCACTGATTGTTGTGATGTCACTGAATGTTGTGATGTGGCACTGATGATGTCACTGATTGTTGTGATGTGGCACTGATGGTGTCACTGATTGTTGTGATGTGATATTGATTGTTGTGATGTGTCACTGATGTGATGGTGTCACTGATTGTTGTGATGTGATATTGATTGTTGTGATGTGTCACTGATGTGATGGTGTCACTGATTGTTGTGATGTGATATTGATTGTTGTGATGTGTCTCTGATGTGATGGTGTCACTGATTGTTGTGATGTGATATTGATTGTTGTGATGTGTCACTGATGTGATGGTGACACTGATTGTTGTGATGTGATATTGATTGTTGTGATGTGTCACTGATGTGATGGTGTCACTGATTGTTCTGATGTGATATTGATTGTTGTGATGTGTCACTGATGTGATGGTGTCACTGATTGTTGTGATGTGATATTGATTGTTGTGATGTGTCACTGATGTGATGGTATCACTGATTGTTGTGATGTGATATTGATTGTTGTAATGTGTCACTGATGTGATGGTGTCACTGATTGTTGTGATGTGATATTGATTGTTGTGATGTGTCACTGATGTGATGGTGTCACTGATTGTTGTGATGTGATATTGATTGTTGTGATGTGTCACTGATGTGATGGTGTCACTGATTGTTGTGATGATGTCACTGATTGTGGTGATGTGGCACTGATGATGTCACTGATTGTTGTGATGTGGCACTGAAGGTGTCACTGATTGTTGTGATGTGACACTGATGGTGTCACTGATTGTTGTGATGTGACACTGAAGGTGTCACTGATTGTTGTGATGTGGCACTGAAGGTGTCACTGATTGTTGTGATGTGGCACTGATGATGTCACTGATTGTTGTGATGTGGCACTGATGATGCCACTATTGTGATGATGTGACACTGATAACGTCAATGATTGTTGTGATGTGACACTGATAATGTCACTGATTGTTGTGATGTGGCACTGATGATGTCGCTGATTGTTGTGATGTGACACTGATGACGTCACTGATTGTTGTGATGTGACACTGATGGTGTCACTGATTGTTGTGATGTGGCACTGATGATGTTACTGATTGTTGTGATGTGGCACTGAAGGTGTCACTGATTGTTGTGATGTGACACTGATGGTGTCACTGATTGTTGTGATGTGACACTGATGATGTCACTGATTGTTGTGATGTGACACTGATGACGTCACTGATTGTTGTGATGTGACACTGATGATGTCACTGATTGTTGTGATGTGGCACTGATGATGTCACTGATTGTTGTGATGTGATATTGATTGTTGTGATGTGTCTCTGATGTGATGGTGTCACTGATTGTTGTGATGTGATATTGATTGTTGTGATGTGTCACTGATGTGATGGTGTCACTGATTGTTGTGATGTGATATTGATTGTTGTGATGTGTCTCTGATGTGATGGTGTCACTGATTGTTGTGATGTCACTGAATGTTGTGATGTGGCACTGATGATGTCACTGATTGTTGTGATGTGGCACTGATGGTGTCACTGATTGTTGTGATGTGATATTGATTGTTGTGATGTGTCACTGATGTGATGGTGTCACTGATTGTTGTGATGTGATATTGATTGTTGTGATGTGTCACTGATGTGATGGTGTCACTGATTGTTGTGATGTGATATTGATTGTTGTGATGTGTCTCTGATGTGATGGTGTCACTGATTGTTGTGATGTGATATTGATTGTTGTGATGTGTCACTGATGTGATGGTGTCACTGATTGTTGTGATGTGATATTGATTGTTGTGATGTGTCACTGATGTGATGGTGTCCCTGATTGTTCTGATGTGATATTGATTGTTGTGATGTGTCACTGATGTGATGGTGTCACTGATTGTTGTGATGTGATATTGATTGTTGTGATGTGTCACTGATGTGATGGTATCACTGATTGTTGTGATGTGATATTGATTGTTGTAATGTGTCACTGATGTGATGGTGTCACTGATTGTTGTGATGTGATATTGATTGTTGTGATGTGTCACTGATGTGATGGTGTCACTGATTGTTGTGATGTGATATTGATTGTTGTGATGTGTCACTGATGTGATGGTGTCACTGATTGTTGTGATGATGTCACTGATTGTGGTGATGTGGCACTGATGATGTCACTGATTGTTGTGATGTGGCACTGAAGGTGTCACTGATTGTTGTGATGTGACACTGATGGTGTCACTGATTGTTGTGATGTGGCACTGAAGGTGTCACTGATTGTTGTGATGTGGCACTGAAGGTGTCACTGATTGTTGTGATGTGGCACTGATGATGTCACTGATTGTTGTGATGTGGCACTGATGATGCCACTATTGTGATGATGTGACACTGATAACGTCAATGATTGTTGTGATGTGACACTGATAATGTCACTGATTGTTGTGATGTGGCACTGATGATGTCGCTGATTGTTGTGATGTGACACTGATGACGTCACTGATTGTTGTGATGTGACACTGATGGTGTCACTGATTGTTGTGATGTGGCACTGATGATGTTACTGATTGTTGTGATGTGGCACTGAAGGTGTCACTGATTGTTGTGATGTGACACTGATGGTGTCACTGATTGTTGTGATGTGACACTGATGATGTCACTGATTGTTGTGATGTGACACTGATGACGTCACTGATTGTTGTGATGTGACACTGATGGTGTTACTGATTGTTGTGATGTGGCACTGATGACGTCACTGATTATTGTGATGTGACACTGATGTCACTGATTGTTGTGATGTGGCACTGATGATGTCACTGATTGTTGTGATGCGGCACTGATGATGTCACTGATTGTTGTGATGTGACACTGATGATGTCACTGATTATTGTGATGTGACACTGATGGTGTCACTGATTGTTGTGATGTGACACTGATGACGTCACTGATTGTTGTGATGTGACACTGATGTCACTGATTGTTGTGATGTGGCACTGATGATGTCACTGATTGTTGTGATGCGGCACTGAAGGTGTCACTGATTGTTGTGATGTGACACTGATGGTGTCACTGATTGTTGTGATGACACTGATGACGTCACTGATTGTTGTGATGTGACACTGATGGTGTCACTGATTGTTGTGATGTGACACTGATGACGTCACTGATTGTTGTGATGTGACACTGATGACGTCACTGATTGTTGTGGTGTGACACTGATGATGTCACTGCTTCTTGTGATGTGACACTTATGACGTCACTGCTTCTTGTGATGTGACACTGATGCCGTCACTGATTGTTGTGATGTGGCACTGATGGTCTTCTTGTGATGCGACACTGATGGTGTCACTGATTATTATGCGATAGTGATGGTGTCGAGCATCAATGCTGTGGCACTTATGGTTGTCACTGCTGTAGGTGACTACTTTTTTAAATGTATCAGTGATGGTGCCAGTGCAGGGTGTTACGCGTCATTCGATGGTGGTCAGAACCGGAATTAATATTTGATAAGTGCTTGGTTCATGTAACTGTGGGTGGGCTAAGAGCTTTGTGGCTTCCCTCCATCAATTGTAATCACTCCACTATCAGCAATGCTTTAAAATAGCAATAACTGGCATCACCACAATACTCTTCATTCAGCAGGAATAACGCTTCACAGATGTTTTACTAGGTATCCAACAAAAATAAAGCGATATATTTAAAGTTCAGCATTCTTTCAGATAATTAGATTTAGCCCCTAAACCCCATCTATAAATCCCTTCATGCGAGCATCTAATCGTATTCCCCCTCCGTTGCTCGACACAGTGTCAACTTGCGTGCTCTCTCCAAGTCTGGCCTCTACTCTGGAGACCCACGTGGTTCGGCCTGATAAGTCTTGTCCACCAGACAGAAACCTTCATTGGTGTCCTGCCCCTGGACTCCTGAAAGCCTAAAATATAATATACATGCTAAATTTCGATTTAAAGCTTTAGTGACTGCAGGGATTCATATTCTTGGTTCTTTCGGTAAAGTCACGTAGAATGGAAATAATAAAATAATAAAAATAAAACATAATAAAATAATTCTCACGACGTTTCGGCCACAACACAAGCAGCCGTCCTCAGGTGAAGAACAGGTCTGTCAGAAAGACAGCG